TGCTATTTTAGTACCATCTCATAATATTTTAAGTATTTTCCTGAAATTAAATGGCACTTGATATTTCTCTTTACATAGTTTTATTCCAAATCCTTGGTGAGGAATTTTATTCAAAATGTGGGTGTAGCATTTATATTACCCTCCTACTAGAGTAGATATTGTTAAAAATATAGTTATAGTTAAAACAAAGGTACTGTATCAGAGCAATGAAAGTTTTTATTTAGCCTTCATATGCCATTCAATATCATATTTTGTATGTAATGCATTTCCTATTTGAAAATGTTCATTTCAGGTTATTTCTCTAATTTTTAAATTACATTTTTAAATTTTTAATTTACATTCAAAAAGGTTTATAAAATTTAAAAAGTTTATTTTGTCAAGTAGTGAGGTCTTTTGCTTAGTTGAGTCAAAACTACCTTAAATTCTTTTGAATATTTAAGACTTACTAGAAATGAATCTAGTTTTATGAAGCCTATTCTAATAATTGTTTGTATTAAATAGAAGTATTTATGTGATTTCTGTATGATTTGTTTTTTAAACTATGCGTAAATCTTTTCACCCTGTCATGTTGACAGTGAGCACCATGATTTCCTGCAGATGAAGCTCCAGCTTCCTGAATTTCAGTCTGGCTCTCAGTAGAGGGGGAAGTATGAGTGAGAGACTGAAATACTAAGATTAAAGGGATTTAATCATTTTTCCTACCCTTGCATTCTTAGAGTGAGAGCAAAGGCAATGGAGACTCCAGCCGGCCACTTGTTACTGTTGACTTAGTACAAACAGTGGTAGAAGTGTTTAGCCTTTGAGAAATTCTGTGATTGAGCAAGAATGCTGCAATCATTTTGTTAAGAAAGTGTTAACAGTGTAGCCAAAGCTGTGAGCATCCCAGAGATGAAGGGCCTAAGAGTTTACTCTTCCAGATGAACCCAGATAAGTTCACCTAGGAAAATAAATGCAGTATTTTGGTCAATTTGCAACAAAATGGTTAAGATTTTGACTGTTCATTTTACACTTTGCCTACCGAGGTGTAGTAAAATAGTTCAGCATCTCCATTTCTGGCCTGATTTTCACTATAGATTTGGAAACAGCAGAAAATAAATGCACAAACATGTTCAACAATAGCACACCAAATATTATAAATCCAAAATGAAGACTGAAACTGCATGAGGAATTAGAGCAAAGCTTTTCTTTTTTTGGTGAAACTGGGAATTGAACTCAGGCCCTTGCACTTGCCAGCGAAGTGCTTGTTCTACTGAGTCATCTCCCTGGTCCCTAGAGCAAAGCTTTGTCTCAAGAGTGCTTGCTAAATTTGGAGCAGTTTTCATAGTGTTCTTATTACGTACACCCAGTAGTGTTAAAATCAAGGTCTTGTTGATTTTAGTTACTGTTTTCTCTGTACTCTTCCATTCTTGGAAGATGATGTCCTTCTAATGGTTGAAAAAAAGGATTTAACTAATGCTTGCTTCTCTAAGAAACTTTCCCTAGAAAAGGGCATTCTAAACACATTAGTGGCTTTAATTTGGCTTTGTGAAAAGCATCGTCTCCTGGAATTAATTGCGCTTCTCATTGGATGTTTGTTAGACAGCAAAAGTCTGATTTTTGAAAAAATAGATTTTCATGTTCTAAAAAAATTAATCCTAAATAGCAGATTTAGGATTCCTTGTTTTAGAAAACTATTTGTCTAAAAACCCCACAGTGAGCTATTTGCTTGTTGTTTGTGGGACTCAGTGAATTTGACTCTATACATTTCTATTACTTTTAAATCCTTGGGCATACTCTTTCTGTAGATGGTACCTAGCTCTTCCTAAACACCTGGCTGTCAGTCTGTGAGTCTTTCTCATTAGGCCTTCTCTCTTTCTGGGGTTTCAGGGAAAATGAATTTTCTTCTGGTTTAGTGATGTTGTAAAACATTGAGTTCAAGATAAAAGATTCACATAAGGAACTAAAATGTACACTTGTCAGAATGTTGTATCTGTGGTAATAAGGGCAGAGTTTTGTGGTTTTTTTTTTTTTTTTTTAATGTATTTAGTATGGGGTTTACAGAGTTTCACTACACAGATTGGACTCATAGTGATTCTCCTGTTTTCAGCCTCCCAGGCACTGGGATTACAGGTGCAAGTCACCACACCCAGTTGACATCACCATCCCAGGGTATCCCGGCGTCAGGGCCTGCATGGCCTGCCTGGGATCCTGGCCACTGGGCTCTACGTAAGCAGGCGCTTTAGTCCACTGAGCTATCTGGTTGGCCCTTGTGGGGTTTTATATGGGTTTTGTTTACCTTTCTTGCTGTTTTCAGGCTCATGACTTAAGAGATTAGATTCAGATTTCACAAACTATCCATAGAAGGTAGCATTGTAACTCTAATTGTATACTGACTATCTTATTTTGCTGTCTCTAAAATGTTAAGCTGGGCTTCGTTCTGACTCTCACTGCTGATCATGACTGCTTAACATTTTTAATGAGTTTTGTTTAAGACATTCAAAGCAACAATGAATTATTACAGATTAAGGATGTACAGCAAAGGAAATTTTGTTAAAGTTAGGAATGTGGCAAAATGAAAAAGACAAAGGGGATACTCAATTCTATAAGAACGTGATTATACAATTGTTTTAGTATTGGTCAGGCTAAATGATGATAATGATACCAAATACTCATGAAGTGTTTGCTATATGTAAACTTCATTCATATTTATATTCTTATTTGGCCTTAACAGGAGAGATAAATACCATTTTAAAACCCATTTTATAAAGGAGGTGTTAGACTTTTAAATATTTGCCGGAAATAATATCTAAAGTACTTAGCATACAAGAAAGCTTAATTAAGTTTATATAACTGATATTTAAGCCCCACATATTATTTTATAGCTTCAACCTCATACAAAGCACCTATTTTAAGTAGATAAGCTGATTATATTGTATTTGATCAGTTCTTAGAGTATATGGGCTTATGGTCTATATCTAGAATGTCCCCCAAGGGTTTGTCTTAAAGGCTTGGTTCTCAAGGCAGTGGTGTTCAGAGATGGCACTGTTAGGAAGTAAGAGCATCATGAGGCCCCTAAGCTTATTCATGGATTGATTCATTGATAGATTGATAATTTAATGGTAGTGTTGGGATGTGGTAAACACATTGGGAAGTAGAACTAGATGATGAAAGTAGACAAGTGAGGGTGTAGCCTAGAAGGCTATATCTGTCCCTAGATCTTTCCACTATTATCTGCCTCCTGGCTGCCATGAGGGCATAGCTTTTCTCACCAGGCATTTCTGCCATGATATACTGCCTCATCAGAGGCCCAGAAGCTTCAGAGCTATTTGACTGTGAAATAAAACTTCTGAGATTGTGAGCCAAAGTAAATCTTTCCTCTTTTAAGTTGCTTATCTCAGGGATTTTCTCATAGGGATGGAAAATTAACTAACAAAAGCTCTAAAATTTGTTGGTGAGATTTTATTTTGTTTTTTTGTTTTTTTTAAAGTACAGGGTGGACAGGGTCTCACTGCATAGATGAAAGTCATAGAGATCCTCTTGTTTATAGCCTCCCAAGTGCTGGGATTATAGGCGCGCCTCCCTAGCCAGTCTCAATCTCTGTCTCAGTGCACCCCGGGGATGGGGCTGGCATGGCAGGACCTGGGATTGGACCCGTGACCCCTGGGCCTGAACCTGTGGCCACTGGGCCTGAACCCGTGGCCCCTGGGCCTGCTTGCAGGCGCTTTAATCTACTAAGCTGTTTAGTGGCCCTGTTGGTGAGTTTTAAATAGATATAAAAATTTAGGATTTTAACTCTCACATGTAGTAGTGATCAGTGAATGATCACTGTCTTTATAGTGCCACCTTTCTTCATATGAGACTAAAGTTTGTTTTTTTTTTTAAATTTTATTTATTTATTTATTTATTTTGGTGGAACCGGGGATTGAACTCAGGCCCCTGCGCTTGCCAGGGAAGTGCTTATTCCACTGAGCCATCTCCCTGGCGAGACTAAAGTTTTTTAACTCCAAGTTAACTTTAAATAAAGGAGCATCATTTGCTATGGACCACTAAAAGCTACTGAGAAGATAAAAAAGAAATCTATTAACCTTTCACAGAAACTGTTAGCACAAAATGAAGGATCTTATACAGCTAGAGTTCAGTCTATTTGTGGAATGGAATAAGCTCATGTTTTATTCCTCTACTTTCTTATAGTAAAAACATTAAAAATCATTTTAAGAACTACTCTTAAGCCTACTAAATTTAAATGCGTCCTCTTATATTGAAAGATATAAGAAGATATAAGGTATGGTGAATATTTTGCTTTTTCTCCCCTCCCTTCCCCTCCTTTCCTCTCCCCTCCCCCCTCCCTCTCTCTCTGTTCATCTTTTTGAGACAGGGTCTCACTATGCAGCTCTAGGCTCACCTTGAGTTCACTATATAGACCAGGCTGATCTCAAACTCCCAAGGATCCTATTGCCTTGGCCTCCCAGGTTCAGGGATTACAGGCATGTGCCACCATTCCTGGCTTTTGTTGTTTTTAAACTGCCAGTCACTTTGCTATGGTTATTCTAGATTGATTTTACAAACACTGTGCCTGAGTTAGAACAGTTTTTCTGTATAGTGCTAGAGATCAATACTTTTAAGTTTGTGGACCATAGAGTCTCTGTAGCAACTCTGCTACTCCACTGAATTGCAGGCATGAATATTAAATAAATTAATGTTTAAGCCATGATTTAAAAAAGGTTTATTCCCTCAAACATTTGGACTTGGCTCTTTACTGTATTTATGGCAATATCATTATTGTTACGAACTTAACTGCTTTGAATCTTATAAAGAAAACTAGAATATCAGGCACAGATACTGTAACTATTTCCATCTTTTGAGTAGTACATAATTATATGTTTTGCATTATGTAGTAGTAGCTTTTATATAGTTATTAGCATATGTGACGTGAAAACTTGTAAGTATTGATTTAAAGTGATAAATTTTTACTTATTTTCAAGGTACTAATTTTTTTTGTTTTTCATTTTTCTTCACCCAAGGGTGATTCTATACAAGCAGGTGATGACTCACCATTTTCAGATTCTGTTACTTTGGAACAAACTACAAATAACATTGGTGGATCCAGTGGACGTGTTAGTCTCTGGATGCAATGGGTACTCCCAAAAATTACAATAAAGCTTTTTGCTCCAGACCCTGAAAATAAAGGCACAGGTATGAGATAATCTTTCTTCTCAAATATTAGACACTATTTTTAGAATAAATACTAGACTTAGTTTTACTTACTGTTGTAAATAATTAAATATATCTTTATTAGTTTGCAGTATGCTACTAATAAATTTAAAAGTTTAACAATTAAAAATTAGGTTTAATTCAAGTGATGTCTATTAGCCACTACAGATTGAATCTTATCAATAAGTAACATCTATATATATTGTCTTTGACTGTGTTAGACTTAAATTTAGCATGTTGGTGTTAAAATTGGGGCCAGAGAGATGGCTCAGTAGAACAAGTGCTTGCCTGACAAGTTTAAGGGCCTGAGTTTAATCCCCGGTTCCCCCCCCCACTAAAAAAAAAAAAATTCATCCCAAAGACTATGAGAAAAAGTCTTCATTGGTCAAATTAGTACACTGTATCATGGTCATTAATAATATCACAAAGATCTTTGACTGATAACCAAATTTAGCACCTTGATTTACTGGAATTTTTCTTATCTTTAATTTATGTCTTAGTCGTAAAGCCTTTTTGGTGTATGACTTACAAGTTTTTAATTTGTATGCCTCTATACATATCCAAGATATATATGCCAGTGTATATATTTCAACAATGATTATGAAGTGTTGTACTGATAATAATGTTTGTTTATTTTTGCAGAGGTTTGTATGGTCAGTGAACTAGAAGATCTCAGTGCTTCCATAGATGTGCAAGATGTATATACCAAAGTGAAATGTAAAATAGAGAGTTTCAATATTGATCACTATAGAAGCAGGTAAATGAAGAATCATTGATACAGGAAAAGCTATATAGTCTTTGAACAATTCACTCAAAGTTTTCTTTTTAATTTACTACGTACTTTCGAAAAAATTTTTATACTGTTCCCAAAGAGTGTTCTTAACTATGAGCTATATGGGTTAATTTTACTTAATATTCATGCATTTGTAGGTTATATTTTATAAAATAACAAATCTCTGCATAAATATCCATATTGTCATATTAAATGAAAGATGTTGCTTTACTAATTGTCTTACACATTTTATTATGTGTGGCCTATATTTGCTAAGTTACCTGGAACACAGTTGATGGATCTGGTTTTTGATGGATCTTGTTTTGTCCATCCTTTATATACTTGAGAGGGAGCAACTGTTTGTGCTGCTTAGAACTTTGAAGATGATATCAGAGATCATTCGTATGCATGTGGTAGATGTTTCTGAAAGCACATTGTTCCTTCTCTAATTAATTTACATCTCAAGTAAGATTGCATGCAATCATAATGTTTATGATAATGATAGCAAAATTTCAATTTTTGATTTTTTTAAAGAAAAGTCTAAAGCAGTTTTAATATTTCCCAAATAAAAGTCCTTTTTCTTTGCCTTTATATCCTGGTGTTTTAATGTTTATTTATTCATTATTTATTATTTATTTTTGTATTTTTTAGGGAAGGGTCTACAGGGTGTTCAGGGTCTCACTACTAGATTGGACTTGTAGTGATCCACCTGTTTATAGCCTCCCATGAGCTGTGATCACAGGCACACGCCACCACACCCATTCTCAGTTGCCCTCAGCGTACCCCAGGGGGTGGAGCCCTGCACTGCAGGCCTGGCGATTGAACCCCCAGCCCTCTGCCTGCTTGCAGGTGCTTTAATCCACTGAGCTATTTGGCTGGCCCTTTGTTTTAATTTTTAATGAAAACAATTTATATACTGTAAAGTCACAAATGCTTCTAAAAATACTTTATGTGGCATCATATTTTCAGTTTCAAAGTTTTTGAATTGAGACATGCCCTTAAGTCAATTTCTTTTTAGATTCATAATCCTTATTCATTCAACGGTGTTTTATTATGTGCCTGAAAAAGCATTATACATAATATTGTATATCATAAAAATAGCCTTTTTATTTATAAAGTTTCTAGTTGGATGTGGTGCTACTTGTAATCCCAGCACTTGCGAGGCTGAGGCAGGAGGATAGATATGAGATCAAGGCCAGCCTGGACTACATAGCAAGACACTATCTCAAAAAATTTTTTTTCTAGTTCTGTTAAAAATGCAAGAACTGGGGCCGGGAGATGGCTCAGTAGAATAAGTGCTTCCCTGCTAAGTGCAAGGGCCTGAGTTCAATCCCTGGTTCCACCAAAAAAAAAAAAAAGCAAGAATTTTTATTTATTTATTTTTTATGATAAATAAAAAGTGTTAACATATTGTTTGTCAGTAATGACCAAATCTGTCACAGATGAAAAATTGTGTCATACAATATAATACATATAATTCTGCAAATATATTAGAACGTGTCATATTACTAATCATCTAACTTTTTTATTAACAGTGAATCGCTTATTGGCTTTTGATGTTTAGATCTTTAGTTCCTTTCCAGTGATACATATCTAATTCAAAATGATCTTTTCAAGTGATATATCAATATGTTAGAATTGAAGTAATTTATTGAGGATATAAATGTTGTATGTTGAAATTTATGCCTGCTTTTGATGTTGAAGTTATGTAAACATTAAATTCAGATCATTTATTCATTCATTCATATAATCTAAACATTTGTTAAATGTGTATTGTATGTCAAGCTGTATGCTATGTCCTAAGGATACAATGTTTAATACGATAAACTTAGAGTCTACTTTTATGGACATTATAGTCATGTAGATGAGATTGAAACTAACAACTAAGGAAATAAATGTACCATTTGCTATGGGACAAATAGTTCTATGCATAATTATCTAAGTGTGTTGCTATTACAATGGTTCTATTGAATGCATTGTTGTATCCATGTCTTGGTACAGTACAGTATTGTTTACTTTAGAATTATTGAAATAGTTATATATGCTCAATTTTGAGAAAAATTGAAGAGAACAGATAAGGTAAACTTATGTTTTCCAGGCCAGGGGAAGGTTGGCAGTCAGGACATTTTGAAGGAATATTTCTACAGTGCAAAGAAAAACCTGTGGTGAGATTCATTTAGTAATTACAATTTTTGAAGATATATTTCAAATTGTTTATCTTAGTTCTCTTGTGCAGAAGGACTAATGGTTACAAGAATTAGAGCTCAGAATATTTTTTTACTTCTTCCAAAATTATGTTGTAAATTTAAAACTTTATTCTTTTAATCTGCTCATGTTTTGTAACCATCTTCCTTTGTAGAAATTAAGTGAATTTATCAAAAAGACAAAGGTAGGGTGCTTTTAATATACTTTATCTTAGTGAATTATTTATGTTGTCCTTTTGAAAATCTTTCCCTTCCTGAGTACATGGTATATTCTCCTTCACCATAATAAATATGGTAATTACCAAAAGGAGTTATTTTTGTGTACTTTCATGACAACACATTTGCAGAAGATGGTCCAAACAGAGGCGATACCTAGCAATGGCTCAAATTAAAACTATGCAAACTTGAGCAGAATAAAAATCTATCTTTTTGTTGTTGTTTCTTTTTTGGTGGTTTTTATTTTTGTTTTTGATTTTGTTTTTGCTTATGGCTTTTATTATTTTTTGTCTTTCCACCTTCTTTGCTCCTGTCCATCACCTCAAGCCTTGGGAAAGAGTGTTGGTCTTTGGGGCAATGTGGAGGTGTCTTCCTTTCCTGTACTGACAAGCTGAACAGACGCACCTTGTTGGTTCGACCCGTCAGCAAGCAGGACCCTTTCAGTAATTGCTCTGGCTTCTTTCCTTCTGTAAGAAATAACTTTTAAATTATGGCACAGAATTCCCTTTAACAGGAATCCAGAGAAAGAATTGAGTTATCTGTAGTCAACTCTTGATTTTGATTTTGCTCTGTATTGTTCATTTGTAAATTAACTATAGTGTATTTTCAAATTATGGATTGGCTTTTCACTATATATAATGTGTCTTGAGTCACTTGCACATGATGTTGTTTTCCTGGGTTTATAAAGATAAACTAATTTTACCATCATTGTAAGAAAATCATAGTAGGATGTTAAATTTAATACTCTTCTAATTATGCCTCTAGCAAATGATCAAGAGTTGACCAATAGTGTTTTTGTCATTGTTTTTGTGATTCTTGGTGAGACTTTTTCTTTATTTTTTTCCCTTTATTTTTCTCCTATTATACCTTTGTTTTCTCCTCACAACTAATTCAAAGTACATTATTTGGTACTGTCTTGAATCTGGACAAGTATGTACTTCTGTCATTGAATAACTAGAAGACAAATACAGTACCTTATACTAGTGTCTTAAAAGTTTAAAACATCATTTTCTAATAGTATGATACATATTAATATGTTCTTAAGCTTATTTAAATGATAGTCTTCAGTAAGCCAAAGTGTATGACCTTTTTAAATATTTAGAGCAGATAGCATTCATTTAAGAAATCATTGAATCATTGCATATGTGAACTATCCCCTTTTCTTTTTTAAGATCAGCAGATTTAAATGATTTTGTTTCTATGTTTAATGTTTAATAGCATATTTGCATAATAGCCAGTAGTATTTTCTGATTTGATTTTGAACTTTTTCTAATATTCTCTCTGTACTAGAAAAAAAAATCTCTGAAATATGGTGTTATATTCTTGGCGGTTTTGTTTAGGTTTATTTTTATCTTTTGGAATGTTCAGTAGTGTCTGTAAAAACATTCTCAATTTTAAATCTTATTTAAAAACTACACAGTAAGACCCTGTGTCAAAAAAACAGTAGTACAGAAATAAAAAATTACAGCCAGGTATATAGCTCAGCAGTACAGCACCTGCCTGCCAAGCCCAAGTTCCTGAGTTTGACTCCTGGAACCAACAAAAGTGTTTATCATTTTTTCCTAAATGATTCAAACTTCATTGCTTTCTATTGAAATTTTAAATTTTCAGTGTTTTCTACTTATTTTAAGTAGTTTTAAATGTTGATTATTTCTCTTTGTCAACCAAAATTTACATTAATCCAGCTCAGTTTATTTTCCCCTTTTATTAAGGAAGTCAGAAATATAATAATGGATAAATGAAAGCCTTTCTTTCATGTAGCTTACCTTTCAAGAAGGCTCATGTTGAATATATTTTAAACATTTTTCCAAATCAAAATATCTATACATTGAAGTACCTTTTATACCGTTTCCAGAATTCGGATGTTGCTATTAGTAGATACTAATTACAGTTGAAGTAGTTAGATTAATGATGAGACTATGCTTCTCCCTGAAGTGCTGTTTAGACACCTGGAAATATCAGCATTACTGTGTCCTCTTCCACACTGGGCTGTACCATGGCTGTTCTTTATTTGTTGTTGCCCACTGGCCAGAAGCATAATGGTCACACTTGCAGCATTTCTTCTTGCTTCATGGTGCTGCTTGTTTTTCCTTTGAGTGTAGAAACCAAAAAGAAAAGGAAAACAGGGAATAGAAGAAAGGAGAAAATCAGTAACAGTGAAAGCATACTTTGGGGGCAGACTATTATGGGAATGATGATTATATTTCACACCCCTAACTGATTACTTTTCAAGATTTTTAATTTTCAGATTATTGACTTAAAAAAGGACATTTACAAACATTTGTAAGCAAAACCAGAAGCAAAACCAGCAGTAATATACAAACAGATTAGTCCTTTTCTTACCATATCATTTTGTTAAAGACATCAACAAAAAAAGGAACTAGAAAGAAAGATTTAAAGCATTTGGATAGCATAGACTCAGAAACAGCTTGGCTTTGTTACTTTACACTTTTTACTTTTTGCTTAATTATATTCTCTTCCTTTTTTTCTTTCCCAGTTCACTTCCCCTTTTAGCATCGCTCCTTGTACCCTAATAACAAAAGCTATTTCAGTTATTGGGAAGGGGAATTGGGAATATGAGATACATCCAATGTAGTCTGATTTTTATTTTAACTAATGTGCAAAACAGGATTCTGGTTCAGAAATTTGTTCAAAAAAATTTAATAGTGAATTTCTAGTTTGAATGTCAGTCATTTTAGAAGTTATAGAAGCTTTTTTCCTGTGCAGACTTAAGCAGTCACCTTTTTATTAAACAAAGAATGACTAAGACAAAAAGATCAGAATATTACAGCTATTTTCTTGTTTCAAATGTCATTTTATTTTTCTAATGAAATGTGTATCATGATTTCCTTTTTGTGGAACAGACAACAACAAAACTTCTAGATGGCTCTCATCAGCAGCATGGATTTTTATCTCTGACATACACAAAAGCAGTAACAAAAAATGTCCGCCACAAGTTAACCTCAAGAAATGAACGACGAAGTTTTCATAAGTTATCTGAAGGTTTATTGGATGGTTCTCCTCATTTTCTTCATGAAATTCTTCTTTCAGCACAAGCCTTTGATATTGTCCTTTATTTTCCTTTACTTAATGCCATTGCAAGTATATTTCAAACAAAACCACCAAGACAAAAAGAGAAAAGAAAATCTCCAGGTCAGCCCACAAGAACCCATACACTGACTTCACGCAATTTACCTTTGATTTATATCAACGCCAGTGTGATCAGAATTTTTGTTCCAAAAGCAGAAGAAATGCAGTCAACTGTTGGAGGTACTGTCTTATAATTTTTTCTCATTTAATATTAAATACTTTTCTTCTAGAGACCTTAGGGTTGTTGTTGGTTTTTTTTTTTTTTTTGGTATGTTGTACAGAATCTCACTACACAGCTCAGACTTGTAGTGATCCCCCTGTTTTCACCTCCCTAGCACTGGGATTACAGGCATGCACCACCACATCTGGACTTGTTCTCCAGCTCAGTGCACCTGGGGTTGAGGCCAGCACGGCATGTGTTGCCAGGGATCGAACTGCGCCGGTCCTAGAAACCTTAGTTTTATAAGGGTGTTTCTATGAATATGGGCAGCTGGTTGTATTTTGCATTTTAATGTGTTTTAGAAAAAATACTATGTTATCGTCATTTTCTAACTTAATCTGTAGAAGTTATACCAGAATATGGGGTAAATATCTGACTTCATTAATAATTACAGTAAGAAATGTGAGATTTTTCTTCTTTGGGGCTTTTACCAATAAAGGTTATACTGTCAGTGATTGCTTTTAGGAAACTGAAGTGTTTAGAGATAGGTAGACAGACCCCCCCCCCAAAAAAAAGAAGAAAAAAACCCAAATTATATGATTGAAATATAGAAGTTATATAATTGAAATATCTACTTTATGACTCATTATAGAAAAAAAAATAGTCAACTAAGTCCCTGGTGACTTCTCAGCACCATATGAAATTATTTTATATCTTGAAGTGAATTAAATTTATACTCCCTCTGCCTCTGCTCACAGCAATAATTTACTACATTTAATTTCTCCTATGCCATAACAATATGAAAAATTTAGAATCTTGAGAGACATGCACAGTGGTTAGTGCTATGGACTTTGACATTATACAGACTTGAGTTCAAATCCCTACTTTATGAGTTGAAATACTGAGTAAGTTAATCTAAGATCCTCATTGTAAAGTAGTAATAGTAGTACCTAGTAAGATAATTAGGTTGTAATAATAGCTTACATTCAAATTATGCAAACAAGGGACAGCCTAATAGCTTAGCCAGTAAAGTGCCTGCTTAGGCAGAGCACCACAGATAGGGTTTGATCCCTGGAGTGCCCTACTGGTCCCACCCCCAGGGCACATTGAGAAGGCGATTGAGACTGGGTATGGTGGAGTGCACCTGTAATCCCAGCACTTGGGGAGCTGAAAACAGGAGAATCACTGTGAGTCTGATCTATGTAGTGAGACCGTGTAGACCCTGTAAACCCAGTACCAAATACAGAAGAAAAAAATTATGAAAACATAAGACTTTGTACCTTATATCGGTGCCATAGTAAATTTATAGTTACTATCATAAGAAGGTTATTCTTTTTTTGATACAATTTTGTATTTTTTACAATTAACTTCCACGTATGCCTGTTTTTAGATATGTTCATGCTCAGGTGCAAAAAAAGGCAGACATACACTATTTTATCTAGGTGATGTCATACTGTCTTAGTTTATTTCTGCTACTATAACAGAAAGTCTTAGAACAGAAATTTATAAATACTAAAAATTTATTTGCCACATTCCTGGATGTAAGTAGATTCAGTGCCTGATGACATTTTTCTCTCTGTTTTCAGGATGGCAGCTAGTTTATTTGTTTTGGTGTTGTAGAAGACTAGAAGGACAAAAAGGGACAGACTGGCTGAGTGAAGCCTTTTATATTATGCCAGTGTTTTCATGACTGAATTACTTCCCAAAGGTCCCAGTAATTAATACCATCATTTTAGGGTTCAGATACAGACATTTTGGAGAGACATCACTTTTCAAACCATAGCATATTCCCAGCTAGTAATTATAATAACTAAGCCAGGGAGATAGGTTGGTGGTCTAAGCACCTGCCTGGCAAGTACAAGGACCCAGGTTCAATCCCCAACTTAAAAAAAAAAAATTATAATAACTAAGACCCTCTGAATTTGAAAGGGAAGAGAGAATGGATATTTTAGAGATGAGTAATAGTCTGTACTGCGTACAAATAGTAGAAGTTTTGTTTGGGGATGGGTATTTATTGTTTTATTTTCTTTTTTAATTTGGTAGAGCAAAAAGATCTTGAATCAGGATAATAAGTATCAAATGGAAAGCACCTGCTGTATTCTCTTCTCATCAGTTCTGTATCTCATTCTGTCTACATTAGAGAGATGATCTTAATATTTCTATAACTGAAAAATATGCAGCTTTTTATATTTTTATTTAGCAAACTATCTAGACTGGAGCTAATTTGAGCATATGCTTATGGAGTTTTAGTACCTATCAATTCCTACTTTTAATGTCTAATACTTTTGCTAGGGGTTGTCTTTAAATTGATTACTTTGAGGTGTATGATTACTCTCAAAGTAATTACAGTAATATTATTTTAATATACTAAGTTCTGACAATACTGTGTAATTGTTTTCATTATAGTAACACATGAATGGTTGTGAATAAGGAATTTGTACTGAACAATTACAAGTGATTTGGGAAATGACCTACTGATCAGAAAGCAAAAGCTGGATATTTATTGTAGAAGTAATGACTTATGCTTTTTTTTCTTATCATGTTTTATTGTATGAATAACTAAAGAATTTTTATATAGTAAAATTTACTTTAAATTTGTAGCAGTTTTAACACATTCATAACAGTGCTGTAACTCATGTCTTACTGGCAGGTGGCATGAACTACCTACCGGTGGTACTTGTCTAACTGCCCCAGTAGACAGATTATACCATTGATGGTGCCAGCAGATCTAATCACTTTTATCAGTCTTTTTGCTTTTAATGAAAAGCTACCATGTTTAAAAAAAAAAAAAAAAGAAAAGAAACTCTCATTTCTATACAGGATAATTCTCTAAGAACCTTAGCTGGCCAGACAGAATGACATTTTCTCATAACTGTAAAAGTGACATAGACATAAAAGATTACTGAGATTAACTTCATTTTACTTTTATAAATGAGAATGGGAGGTAAACAGCAGTGAAACAAATAGTCAGGCGTCCATATTGCAAATATCTTTACCTTTTTGGTTTTTATCCTCTGTGTGCAAATGTGTGCATGTCTTCATATTTATACTTGTCTATACCTAAAGTGTTACAAATTTTCATGTACCCATCCTGAAAATGCAGGTGTGAAGATATAGGTGCAAAAATACATGCCAAATCTTCAAAGATTTTGGTACTTTATAGATTTTTTTTCTGACACTTTATCTTTTTCCATTGCTAGTCTTATTTCAAATTATCATAATTCACTCATGAAAATTTTTTTCGGTTTTAAAATTCACCATTTTAACCATTTAAAATACAGATAAATCTTAAAGTATTTTTATGGATGATTGGATATTTCCATTTGATGTGGAAAAGCTATAATGGGGCAGGGGAGATAGCTCAGTAGAATAAGCGCTTGCCAAGGTCCTGAGTTCAATTCCCATTACCAAAGGGTGGGGGGGGTGGGGGAGAAAAGAAAAGCTATAGTGGAACAGAGGAAATAATGATAGAAATGACAGTTACATTCAAATAAATATTGTTTAAATAAGTCTAGTAAGAGTCAAGTACACTTTTATTCTAGAAAAGCTTCAAGATCATTGGTTTCATATCCTAGTAACACAAAAAGGTTTTTTCAATTATATTTATCAGATTAGAGTATGTTATAATCTGCTTTAATGAGTATGATAGTGTAAGTGTTGGCACATCATGATTCTCTGTACAACTTCATTATGAAGATATGACCAAACAATTGTGCTTATAACAATATGTGCCTGTTTTAAGATAATTCATAAACTGAATTAACCTAGTTTTTCTAATTTTACTCATTTAGTGAACCTTTTTTTTGCATTCAACTGGAACTCGGCAATAACTAAAACCATTTTCTGATGTCTCTGTTGGACTGTCAAAATAATTATGGCTTTATAAAAATATAACATTACACAGTAGAAATTTCAAATACTTTTGAGACTTTAGTTATTTTATCACATTAAGAATTTATGCTTATTTCATATGTAGCATTTTTAAAAGTCACAAGTAACAATCTTAAATTATCTGACAATTACTTGAAAATTCTGCTCTTATTTAAACTTTCAGTAGCTGATACAAGTTCACAACTTAAAAGCTATTTATAGGCTTTGCACTTGTCATGCATACATAAATATCCATGCACCTGCACACACACACACACACACACACACACACACACACACACCCCTACACTCCCAGAAGGCAAAATATTTAGATTAAATTGTTACATTAATGCAAAATTTTAAAGTCATCATTGAAAATTTAGCTATATTTAACATTCTGTTATTTTACTTAGAAGAGTGATTAGCAAAGTCTGGTGAAGCACGAATATTGTTTGTACTGTGTGGAATTATTATCAGGATTTCTAAATCTACAGTTGTTTCACTACCAGTTGAAGCTTTTTCAGAGTAGGTGTCTGTCCTTTTGATCTTAGTGTCTTCTTAAAAGTGTGATTAAACCAAAAAAGGAAGGCATTCACTTTTTATGCCTGAAGTGCTTCATGAGGGAATATTTCCTCATATGGCTCAAGTTTTGAATGCAGATAATATAAACCCAAAGTAGGAAGCTTGTTTCTTTTTGCAGCTATAAAGTAACTAAAAAGAAATGACTTGACATTTCCTTAAAGAAATGCACATTTTTTTATCTTTTGCTTATATATCAGTGAAATAGTTTGACAGGCTGTATACTTTCTATAATAGATTAATTCTTGTAACTTAGTTTATCATACACACACACGTATATGTGTGTGTGTGTATATATATATACATATACATATATATATATATATATATATATATATGTTTTACTATAACTTCATGCATAATCTTCTGAGAACACTTTTGGCTCTATTAGAAACAAAATTCTGTTCATGGATCTGGTTTTGTGTGTAACATCAAGTACGTCATTTTCCTTCCATATGTACTTCATTTACTGCAGTGTTTCTGTTACTGTTTAGACTTTCATATGGTGAATGGTATCTGTAGCCTGAAAGAACAGTTAGCAAGTACACTAATTGCACTTTTGTGGCATGGTATATTCTCCAAGCTTACTATTTATTGATTTAATTTATGCCTGCTGGTTAATCAGAGGTTTTACCCACATGGAACTATTTGATAAGCTTGGCATAAAATTCAAGATCTGTGAAATGTAAACATTGTTCATAGTATAAGGACCTATAATCAAGCTAGACTTGCAGTCATTTGAAAATAGTGCAACTACATGAGTACTTTTCTGTTTGATCTCCCCTACCCATGAACATTTAAAAGTATTATCTTTCCTGTGACATCCACATTTATTATGTTGGTTCATTTCTTTTTTTTTCTGCTCCTGCTGTCCTACCTACTCTTATGTCTCTGTCATTTTAGCTTTCTCCATTCCCTTTGTGGTCATCTTACATTGGTTCTTTCTTTCCCTCACCTAAGTATCTTTCTTATTCCTTTTCTGATTTTCATAATTTGAACTTCTTTTTTTAGACTAATCTAAGTCAGACCATACCAATTGAACTACCAAAGCAGCTGGTAGTAATCTTCTAGCTCTTGCATTCTTTGGGCATCACAGTTTGGTAAATATGGATTGGATGCCTTTGTAGGCATGTTGTGTTTAGGATATTCTTGGGACCATACAGCCAGTCTTTTTTTTTTTTTGTGGAAGATGATAGTTCCTTGAGATGGATTACAATTTTTATTATGTTTACTTAAAAGTTTTATTTTATTTAGAAATTTTAAACAATGTTTCACCTACTATAGTAGAATTATATGTTGGAGATCGTAGAGTAAAATGTCCCTATCATCCCAGGTAGTCCATAGAAAAGATACTTAATAAGCTAGTGCACTATAAAAATGGTGTTGAACTTCATAAGATGAGAACATATTATTAAGTATATATACCTTTTTTCTCTCTGAAATTGTACTACTTTTAGACTTCATTTAAAGTTAAGATTACTGTTTCAAAAGCATTTTCACAGTAGAAAAGTAGAATTTATTAAAAGTGCTTTAAATAGCAAATAGAAATAGTTTCTTATGTTAAATAGTTAGTTGCTCTTTTCCAACCTTAACATTGCCACCATCATATTTCCATTGGCTTTACTGGCATTTGTAGAAATAAAAGTGATAGATTATATGCTTGTTTTTGTATGTGTGTATCTGTATTTAGTTATTATTAAACATGTAAATTTAAATGGCTTTAAGACTTTGTTACATTGTGTCAAAGTGGAACATTGCCTTAATTTTAGCATATGCCATCATTTGAAATTTAGGATGTGATACACATCAAAGCTATAATGAGAAGCCAGTTTGGAGGGAAAAATATCAGTGAATACTTGTTTATATCATTTCATGTATGTGTAGACAACAGTGGAATGGTAAAAATCCAAACTGGAAATAACTTGTAAGAAAGACGCAGTAGTACAAAATTTTGAAGTTAGATATGCATATGGGTACAGCATTACATTTGCATTTGTATTTATACTTATTTTAATGCTGAGGTGGAATTGATTTTTCTTGATATTTTTGTTGTATATTCTTATACAACAAACCATTATTTGAGTTGAAGAAAATATAAAGAAAAGCATCAAATATTTTTGCTTTAGACTAGGCACAGTGGCACATCCCTATAATCCCAGTTCTTGGGAGGCTGTAAACAAGCAAGTCCAATCTAGTTGTGAGACCCCGAACACCCTGTAGACCCTTCATATACATTACTTTAAACCTATTTTTTCACTTATTTTTCCTTATTTATTGGTGCTATCTTTCTATGTTTCTATTCCATTTGCTTAAATGTTTCTTATACATAAAGTTGTACACAGATTTATAGTATATTTGTATGTCTATTCCCTTTGTTACAGTGAATCAGGCAGCAAAGGAAGACACCATGGTTTTGAAGATTGGCTCTGTTGCCATGGCTCCCCAGGCTGATAATCCCCTTGGCAGATCTGTTCTCAGGAAAGACATTTACCAGTAAGTTTAATTTCTTGTGTTCAGTATTGCAATAATTTATTCTTACAAAGAAATACAGTGATCAATAAAATTTGGTTACTGTGGCCTGTATAAATACTTCTCATTTGAGTGCTTTTGATATTTAAAACCAGGTTTTTCTGATTTTCTTCAGTTGTGGGTTTTTAAATTCATTCAGACAAATCAAGTATTTCTGTGAAGTGTTGATGAATAACAGAATGTAAGTACCATAAAACTGAAGAAGCATAGTTTGGAAAATTTTAGCAGACTTCAAGTTTGACCAGTCTCTAATCACATGAGAAAATAAGGTCCTCTCTAGAACCACTGTATCCTACTGTAGTCATGTTGTATCAAAGTAAAACATTTTCTTAATTTAAGTGTAAGCTACTATTTGAAATGTAGGACTGTGGATGTCATATGGATCAAAGATGTAAAGAAAAGCAAACTTCTGAGGAGAAATTTCACAGTAAACACTTTCTGTGAAAATGCTGTGCTCTGGATTTTGTCACTGAGTATTTGCAAACCACACCAAGCATATATGAACAACTAAACTGGTGAACATATGTAATCAACATGATAAAAATAATATGTGATTCATACTGAAGTTGGCATTGCTGCCAGACATGAAAGTACAACTGCAAATAATACCAAGTGAGAAAAATCACAGAAATACAGATGAACAAGTGTCTCTTTCTTCATGCTGGTATGTTTTTCAGATGTTGTAGCCTTATTCTTCCACAAAATAAATTCCTACTGTTTTCTACTATGCATTGCTGCTAGGGGGAGATTCTACTTTTGGTAATGTGTTTACCACTTCTAGAAGGTGATGTCTACTTTTACTCTACATGGATCTAAGAGTTGTATTTTTAAAATGTTTTTGATATTTGAGCTTATATTTTTTTCTTCCTGGTTGTAAATGGCATGTTTTTTCCCATTTTATTTTTTAATATAGCTTGTAACATTGACCTCCTAAGTGAGTTTTTATTTGGCAGAGTTTATATAAAATCTTAGGATGTCAGAGCTAAAAGAGGCCTTAGGAATTATCTAACCTATCTTCCTTAATACTTTACAAATTGAAAAACCAAGTATCCAACAAAATAATTATCTCTAGTTAAATAGTGATAAAACCAAAGTTACAATTCTTGAGTCCTTTAGAATCTAGGGAAAGAATTACAATATTACAGAAATTCTGTAAAAGTTTTATAATTTTCTAACAGAAATTCTTTGGGCCGGGAGATAGCTCAGTTGAATATGCTTGCCTGGCAAGCACAAGGGCCTGAGTTCAATCCCCGGTTCCACCAAAAAAAAAAAAAAATTCTTCTTTATGTATTTATCTTTCATAATTTAAGACTGAGTACTCCTCAAGTGATATCTTAGGTTATTCTCTAAAAGAAATCTATTTTATATTAAAAGACCACTATTAGCATCTGCAAATTGAGTTTGAAAATATTTGTAATATATGAAATTTTGCTATGTATGAAGATATTTGCAATTTTTATATCTATAAGAGACCGATACCGATAATATAGAAAGAACGCTTACAACTCACTGATTAAAAACAAAATCCAATTTAAACATGGGCCAATAATTTAAATATATATCAGATTTTAAAAATGACTAATAAGTATATATAAACACTTTCAACACTATTGTCATTAAAGAAATGAAAGTCAAAAAATTGCCTACAAGGATAACTGTGATAAAATCAAAAAGTAGCTGTCAGTAATTTTGGAATTACAGAAGTTATAGGAAAAATTCAAAGTGCTTTTTCCTGTCTCCACACATTCTATACAATACTCAGTCCAACACTCTTAACAGCAGAGCAAGGAAATAATTTCTACACAGCAAGTAATTCAGTAGCAAATGCCAACTGCATGTCCTGTGATTTTATGATTTATTAATCTGACTAGATTTCACAGATCTCATAGGTAAAAGTTAACCCCACAAGAGTTCCCCTTCCTCTTCAAATTTCCAATCTAGAGGTACAGGTTGTGTTTCTAAACTGCTGGATAAATCAGATTCTTAAGACTCTATTTCTTAGGTTCAGCTAATTTGATAGAACAGCTCGTAAAATTAAGAGAAATGGTTTACTTACCTCTACTTATGTATTCTGAGGATATTATAAATATCTAGCTGGAGGCATGTGGGAAGGGATTCTTTGTGGGCACACCACCCTCTAAGCAAAGCATTATGTGTTTGACACTCCAGAAGCTTATCCACATGCCTCCTTTATGGAGGCTTTATTACACAGACATAACTGAGTCTATCATTTACCATTACTGATCAATTCAGCTTTTAGCCCTTCTCCCTTTCTTAGAGTTGAGGAATAGAACTGAAAATTTTAACTCTTGTCTTGGGCTTTGACATGACCACGTGTTATTTCATTGTTGTTCAAAAGGTACACTTACTGCTTCTGAGATTCGAAGAGTTTTAGAGCTCTGTGTCAGGAAATGGGAATAAATACCAAATGTGTATTTCAGAATATTACAGGACCCTTCATATGTATCTTATGGGAGTATACAGTTGTGCAGCTGCTGTGGAAAAAGGATGGCTATTTATGTAAGGTCAAACATAGAGCTACCATATGCTGGGGCTATTCTTTGGATATAGTATACATATATCAAAGAGGATTGAAAGCATACACACACAACAGTACTATCAAGGCTACTCATAACAGCCAAAACATAGAAACAACCTACAGGATCATGTGTTTATGAATGAATAAACAACATGTGGTATTACTGAGTTGAATATTGTTTTATCATTGACAGGAGTAAAAATATATGTAATACAATTCCTTAACCTTGCAATCCTTATGCAAAGTAAAGTCATACTGAGAGTACACCTATTACACAGCTCCATGTAGTTTAAATTTCCATAGGAGATAAATCCATAAAGGCAGAAAATAGAATGATGCTTGCTAGGAGCTTAGAGGAGAAGAAAATTACTACTAATGTTATGGGATTTCTTTTTGGGATGAAGAAAATGTTCTGTAATTAGATAGTTATAAAATGAGGAGCACAGTGAGTGCTGTATGCAAGAACAATGAGAATAAATAGACACTGCCTCTAAAAAAACAGACTTTATGAGATATCAGTAGTGTCTCAACAAAATTGATTTTAGAAGAATGTCAGAATGTTATGTCACTAAGAGGTCAAGTGGTAATTCAAAAGAGAAATTCTCCCTAGGTTAGTGAAGGCTGGGATCTTTGCAACTTGAGTAGTATTTGTTTTATTGGATATAAACAGAAGGATTTTGTTGTGGGAAGGGACATTCATATGTCATATGGGGTAGAAGGACAAATTGGAGCCTGCCTGGAAGAGCCTCAAAGCTGTAGGCAGTCCTCCACAGTAATTTTTCTGAGAGGGAATGCTGATAAAAAGAAATTGAGTTTCTCAGAGTTTCTTAAAATACAAAGACATTCTAGAGATGTGCTATCTGATGCAATAGACATTAGCCACCTGTGGCTATTTCTGCCTAAAATGTGCCTTTAACAATAGATATTTTGTAACTGTAATATACAACCCAGATTTTCAACAGGTAAAACCAAAATAAAATCCTTCATTAATAGTTTGTTTATTAAACATGTTTCAATGATGTATTTGTAGACTTAGTGACTTAAATATAGTTTTCAACTATTTTACATTTTGAAAACTTCTCACATATGACTACTCACAAAGCTTCAGATAGCTAGTGCACAATTGTAGTATAATTTATGTTTCAACTGGATATCAATATATCACAGGGAGAGGCCTGCACAAACACAAGGTAGATGGCTTCCTGAAATATTTGAAACCAAATCTAAATAGGGTACAACTATAGTTGTTAACCAAGGGCATGCCAGTTCAGTTTTTCATTATATTTAGGTGATCCATTCTTGCCTAATCTACTTGGCAGGAAAATATACTCCCTTTATAGGAATGAAATGTTGAATTTAGTATCCTTAAGGGTTTTTTATACATTGTGTTTAGATATATTTTCAAAAATTATCATAAGAAAACAAGCGGGAAAATTTGACCCATAGTCAGGATAAATTGGTTAAAAGAAAATATTAGAATATAACTAAAATACTAGAATTGCTGTAGTAAGAGCTGAAAAATTTGTTCTTAAAATTTTAAGAAAAATGTTTAAATTGAGGACTTTCAGAAACACAAACAAGGGCCAGGGAGATGGCTCAGTAGAATAAGCACTTGCCTGGCAAGCACAAGGTCCTGAGTTCGATCCCCAGTATCACAAAAAAAAAAAAAAAAAGAATATTTCTATAATAAGATAATACAATTTGCCTTGCAAGGAAATTCCGCTGGGAAGGTGGGCCTACACCAGGGTCCCGAGCTCCCCCAAGTGCGTGTTATTCTGGAACAGCCAGGGATTGATGTAAGTATTTCTAGAGTCCTTGTGAGACTGTGCCAGCTACTGTCTTACCCCACTACTGTGTGGTCTCACTCCGCCAGACTTTATTATCTGTGTTGTAAAATTGGGGTTTGGACAACAGGATTAAATCTGAGGAACTTCAGAACTCACAGCACTTTCCCTTATCCTGCAAGCTCCTTGAATTAGCCTGAAGACAGAAGGAAGGAGGATCTTATCACTGTTTGACCCAAGGAGGTCATTAGGCCAGAGTCACAGAGATGCTGAAAAGGAGGAGGATTTAGAAACAGGCCTTTCGGCTTTCCCTGGGGTCTGTCGGCTATACCAGGATTCCTTTTGTATATCAACTGCAATTCTCATCCTATTGTAAAACTCCAGTCAGCCTCTCCACCTTCCCTCTGAGACTACAGATACTACGCTAATCTCTCTGCTGAGGACACAGGGTGTGAGGATTTCTGTACCCCAGGGACCGTAAAGGCCACACTAGGTGCCTCCTCTGAGTCAACTTCAGTTCTGTCTTTTCCTTCTACAGTGACGTCATTTGGGAGCCACACACCACCTCAGAATCTCAGAATTGGACCTGATAAAGACCTCTAAAAGTCGTCTGTCCTGAGCAGCTCCTGCTAACCTTTCAG